GACGAGTCGTGTTTCTACTTTGGAGTGCGGCTGTTAACGTTGGGTGTGCTGGTTGGTTTGGTCGTGGGCCTCAAGATTTACCTCCTCTCTCGGTGCCGCGGCTGCCGGCCGGCGGTTTCCCGAGCCGCAGGGGCGGAGGGCCGCTTCGTGCTCCCGCCCGCGCTCGCCGCGCAGGACGTGGAGACCCTTGCGAGCCGCAGGCTTCGTGCTGAGCTTGCGCGAGCATGAGTCTGGACATTCCTGAGCGTCAGATACTGGTACATTTTCCAGACTATGGAATTCCGTATCACCATCGTACTCTTCTTGTCAAGCTCGATGGCTCGAGGTGGATCTGGTCTACGCCCGACTTTTCGGTGAGGGCGATCGACGTTGCCGACCGCGCTGTTGTGCCGGGCCGGCTTCCGCTCGCGCGCAATGCGCCTTTCCCGCAGGGCCTGTGCGTCTACGCCTTTGATAATCCCATTGCTGCCCCTGACGTAGCCCGCATTCGTGCTGAAGCGAGGGCTTTGGCTGAGATCTTGGGCGGCGTGGGGGCTGCTCCAGTGGTGCGCGATGGCGAGGTTGCTCCTGATGGTGCCACGGTTCTGGTCTACTCCGATCCGTCGACCCGCTTCTTCAGTGAGGAGATGGATGACGCGATCCAGGGTGACCCCGAGCTTTCAGTTCATCGCACCACCGTCTCGTTGGTCAAGAGAGGCGAGGAGTGGACCACAGCGGAGAGGGCCAGGCCGGCCGACAAGAATAAGTGGATGCAGGAGAAGCTGTGTGGTGAGAGTCGGGACTCGAGGCTGCTGCCGCTGAGCCTGGATCCGACCACGGGTTTCCGCTCCATGACGTTGGAGGACGCCGTGCGGGCCATGAAGCAGGCCGTGCACGGTGATGGTTTCCCCTTCGAGAATTCGAGAGCTGTGCTCGAGCTCGCCCGCGGCGTTGCGGCCGCGGGTTACGAGTTCGGGACATACCACAACTACTGGGTGCGCAGCAGCACGGTGGGAGAGAGGACCGCCGTGGCGCCAGAGCACTACCATATGATGAGCATGCTGCACATGATGGTGGTGTTTGACCAGATCAACTTGCCCAACTCAGCGTCAGCTGAGATGATTGCGAGGCGCGCCCTGATGATCCAGCGGGCGGTGAAGGGCCCTCGGAATCCAGATTTTGACGGGTGGGTCGCACGCCTTCGACGCCAGCGGTGGCGTGGCCACCTCCAAGTTCGATGCTGAGATGGCGGAGCGTCGCAAGACTCAGTCGATCATCGCGAAGTCGGAGAGGCTCCTGAATGAAGAGCACGACGCGGACCACAAGAGGCAGAAGGACAATAACCAGAACAAGGACAAGAAAGGCGACGGCGGCGCTGGTGCGTCGTCGTCGGGAGGATGACCTCCCTACGGCTCCGGGGGCGCGCCGTTGGCCGTGGCGCCCCCCGATCCTTTTCTCCCGTGCGGAGGACGGCCCCGGGCGGTGACGGTCATGATCATGACGCTGTGCTGCCTGCCCCTCACGTCGGCGACGACCTGGCGCAGACGGCGAGGGGCGTCTTCCCGCTCCCCTTTGGGCGCGGGGGGCGATCTGCTCCTGTTGAAGGGCTCACGGCCAGGAGGTCGGCGGCCTGCGATCGGCGTCTGACGGAGACCGTGGGCGCTCTGAACGCGATGGCGACGGCCCGGGCTGGACATCGTCTTCGGCGATGCGGACACGCATCTGCTCCTACTGCGCTGCAGCGCGCCGCGGGGGCTCGGCTGAGGGAGCGGCTCGATGGCCCTGGGCCGCCCCCTTGTGGACCTGAAAGGAGGGGCGCTCTTAGAAGTGTTCTTCGCGCTCTGGACATCTACGACTTCGCGACTGACGATGCGACCCGCGGGCCCTTTGATGCGGAGCGGGTCAGAGTTGTCAAAGACGGAGGTGTTCACCCTTAGCCTCTGGCGGCAGTCGTCGGGCCCGACGCCCGGCCTATGGCGGAGGATCCTCGTCCTTGGATCTTCAGGGCGCCTGCTGATGAATGCGCCGCCGCTCGAGACAATCCAATCAAACCTTACTTAGATCCCGTCCTTCGGCAGCCTCGTCACATGGGGGCGCCCACTCGGAAGTTGCACGCGGCTGGCACGTTGTCCTTTCGCCGTCGTGCTCGATGTTTCGTGGGCGCGTTCACGGTGATCAAGAAGGATGGCTACCACCTCCGCCTGGTCTTAGATTGTCGGCCGGCGAACGTGCTGCACAAAGAGCCGCCCATCAGCCAGCTGGCCGCAGCGGCGGCACTTGGCTCCACGTCCTTGAGAGAGGGCGAGGCCATGGTGGACGAGCACGCGCAGCGTGGCCGCCCCCTCGACGTCCACTTCTCGGGCGCGGACCTCACGGACGGGTACTTCCAGTTCGAGTTCAAGGAGGTGGCGGGCGACTTCTGCCTCCCCCACAAGATCGTCGCGGCTGACTACGAGGTCGAGCGCGTGCACGACGACGACCTTGAGTGCTGGGTCGACGTGGACGGGCACGAGTCGCTGTGGGTATGCGCGAAGGTCATCCCAATTGGGTGGTCGTGGTCTTTGTTTTTCTGCCACTCCGCGTTGACAGATGTTCAGGTCGTCGCTGAGATGACGCGCTTGGCGGAGCCCGATCGTGATAAGATTGATGCGAGGATTCTTCGAGATCGCATGCCTGTGCCCGTGCTTCAGCCTGGCTTGCCCGCGTTGGCACCTTACGTCGACAATGCGTTCCTTATCTGCTGGGGCCGCCGCGACGCGCTCGAGGCGTTTGCCGGCCTTCTGGGCGAGTTGAGGCGGATGGGGTTTTGTCTGGCGGGATGAGGTGCAGGCCGAGAAGGTAGCGACGCAGCTTGGGTTGCTCATCACGGGCGGCGCTTGGCCGATTGTTACCCACAAGTCTGAAAGGACCTGGCGTCTGCATTTCGCTCTCCACTCGGCCCTGCGATTGCCTCAGATATCAGAGCGCCATCTCAGACGGCTGACAGGCCACGTCGTCAACCACTTCCTTCTGTTCCCGCCTTTCATGAGCTGCTTGCACGAGCGCTGGCGGTGGATGGGGGAGTTCGACGGCCGCGCGGGCAGGTTGTTCGCCGACGTTGCCTCTGAGCTCAAGGTGGCGGCCGGGCTGGTGCTCATTGTCCGCCACTACTTTCGGCTCAACACCACTACGACCGTGCATTGCTCCGACGCCAGTCAGGCGGGTTACGCAGCACATGTGGGGCGCTTCAACCCAGGGGAGGCGCTGCCCGCCATCGCGTGGAAGGAGCGGTGGCGCATCAGGACGTTGGAGGCCTTTGTCGAGGACGACGACGCGGATCCAGGACCCTGGAGTTCTATTGCCGCAGAGACGTCGTCGCTGGCGCCCTCCTTCGAGTCCGAGCTTGGTTTCGGCGACCTCGACGTGAATGACATCGCCGCTTCCTCGTGGAAGGCGAGTTCGTCGCGATGGGCGTCGAGACGGGCGCGCGAGTCGGTCGACGCCCACGCCGCGCCGGCCCTCGGCGCCTCGTTCAGCGATCGGCTTAGATGGCGACGCGTGGTCGTCGGGGGTTGGTGCAAGCCTGAGGCCATCCATGCCAAGGAGGCCCGCGCCTCTCTGCTGGGGCTTCGTCGCCACTCTCGGCGCGAGCGACGCTCGGAGACAACCTGTCCGAGATCTTGGCGATGGAGCGCGGGCGGGCCAAGGGCCGCGAGCTGAACGCTTTGTGCCGCCGCTCGTCGGCCCTCCAGGCTGCCTGCAACATCCGCTGGCGGCGCCGCCAGTTGATCTCAGAGCGGAATTGTTCAGATGAGGACTCTCGGCTCGCGGACCGGCTACTGGTTCATCCTGGCGAAGCTCTCGGGGCAGACCGTCTTCGCGCTCGTCTGCACCGACGTGGGCTGCGTGACCTCGCTCTACGTGACCAGGTTCGTGCGCCTCCTAGCCTGGAAGCAGTTCCCGAGACGGCGGTGATTTCCTCAACCTCGAGTGAATCTCACCGTTCGCAGATTGGATTGGATGATCAACAACATAATGAGCGTGCGCCGTGCTCGTCTGTGGGCACAGCTACTTCTTTTCCAGCTTTTTCTCGTCGGCATGATATGATGTCGGATCCGAGGGACACTGAGCCGCCCCCGGTGGCACAGAGTGGCGGCGACGGCCGTCCGACGAGCCGTGCTGCCCGCGCGCCCAAGCACAAGGCCATTTTGGAGCTGTTCTCGGGATGCGCTCGTTTGTCAGGAGCGTGTTTGCAAAACGGATTCCGCATCGCTACGCCTATCGACGTGAAGACATCGCCCGACTTGGATTTGACAAATCCCCGTATCGCTCGGAAGATTCTGGATTGGATCAGATTGGGGTGGATTTGGTTCATATGGTTGGGGACTCCTTGTACAAACTGGTGTATGCCCAAGAGGTCCCCTGAGGCTCCTGATGATATCCACGATGCTACGGCGATGGTTACTATTCGTATTCTCAAAGCTGCCTTCAAGTACGACGTTAAATGGGTTCTGGAGAATCCTGCATATTCAGAGTTATACCGGTGGACCCCTCTCGTCAGTCTCATCAAGGCTCAGGGGGCCCAGTCGGTGCTGCTCGACTATTGTCGTTTCGGTACGCCGTATCGGAAGAGGACTCGCCTGGTTGGGACTCTAGAAGGCCTCGAGGACCTTGGGAAGCTATGCAGATGCTCGGTGCCCCATGAGGTCCTTCAAGGTAAAATTCGCATAGAGGTTGCTCCCCAGAAGTTCCAGATGGTTTGGAAGACAACCTTGTCGGGTATGTATCCGCCTGCTCTCTGTCGTGCTGTGGTTCGAGTTCTGGCGCGGTCAGCGCCCCCTTCAGCTTGCCGAACTGTGCATGAACAACCCGTCCTCCGGCGATGGCGTGAGGGCCTGGAGGCCGCGCTCGGAGATAGAGCGATCGAGTGGCCCCCTGCGCCGAGCTGCCCCCGCCGCTTCGAGCTTCCGTGGGGCGACAGCTCAGGGCAGTGGGGCTGTGGCGACTCACGACGCCGCCGCCAGCGTGCCCTTGCTGCGCAGCCTCGCCGACCCGCTGCCACCGGCGCCGGCGCGCCGACGCCGCGACGCCCGGGCGAAGCAGGCCACGGCGGTGCGCCTCCGAGAGCAGAAGCGGGCCCAGTTGGGCGAGACGCCCGAGGCCGGCTACCTGGCAAGGCGCTGGGTGAAGCCAGTCACGCTGGCGAGATATCAGGAGTCGTTTCGGGTCTTCGCGACCGCCTTTCCGCGGGCGGCGGCGCCCGATTGCACCATCAGCGAGTTCGACCTCTTGCTCGAGCGCCACCTGACCAACATGTTCTTCAGCGAGGGGGCAAGGGCTCACGAGGCGCGCAACGCGCTGCAGCGCGTGGATGCGCCGGGCGTCGGCATCCAGGCTGCCAGCCGCCCTCAGCGCCCTCGACGGCATCAAGAAGGAAGATCCACGAGGTGCTCGACATCCGTGCCCGTGGGAGGCCGTCCTCGCCATCGCCGTCGCGCTGATGCGCATGGGGCCGCTGGGACCGCTGGCAGCGGCGGCGGTCCTCCCGTCGTTCGACTCGCACGCCAGAATCGGCGGCATGCGCGGCCTCAAGGCGCGGGACGCGGTGCGGCCAGTGCGCGACATGGCGAGCCCCAAGTGGGCACTCGTGTTCTTCCCAGAGCCCGACTGCGCCATAAGTAAGACTCGCACCCAGGACGACACGATCGTGGTGGGCGAGTCTCACGCTGACAGATCGTGGCTGAATTCATTGCTGTCCCCGCTGCTGCTCGGCTGGGCGCCCGGGGACAAGGTGCCCCCTTTCGGACCCGCACAACTTCGCAAGTGGTTCGCACAGGCCGTGTCGCAGCTTGACATGTCTTCTCAAAAGTTTGTTCCTCATATGCTGCGCCATGGGGGTCCGAGTGGATTATTTGGCCGGCTTTCCTCTTCAAGAGATTCAAACACGTGGACAGTGGGCAGCTATTGCGAGTGTTCTGGGTTGTAGTGAGCATGGTCGTTACTTCGGATTCTCCACGGACTACCACAGGCAGTCAGAAATGTTTCAGCCGATAACTTGCAGCTGCTGAAGATAGAGCTCCCCTCACTTATTAGAAAAGCAAGGCGCGCTTGACCTATCCCACCCAGCCCGTCAGTTTCCAGTGCCAGAGGTATTGTGGATGAGAGTTGGTGCGCGGTGGCTTCCAACTTGGCCTCTGGAGTTGTGCAGGTTTCGGGGCCCCAGTTGATTGCTGCAGATTCAGGTGAGCTGCAATGTGATTGCGGCTTGAAGTTCATCGGCTGGGGTGGGTCAGCCGCTCGTGCGAAAAGTGATTGATTGCATCGTCTTTGTCTTTTTCCCGAGGGCTTTCGCTCTCTCGCTCCGCCGCCCCACTGCTTTAGCCTTCGTCGTTCGATCCTAAGAAGTCCTTTTGGCCTCCCCCGCAAGCGCTGGAGGGAATGCCCAGTAACTTTGTTTCCCTTTTCCCTCCACCCAAAGGGGGAGGGGAGCAACGTGGGTAATGCTTGCGCCGTAGTCCTGTTGGCCCCACCCTCCGTCCCCTGTGCCAGCTGCGCGCAGGTTTCGGGCCCCCGTTTGATGGCTGCAGATTCAGGTGAGCTGCAATGTGATTGCGACTTGAAGTTCATCGGCTGGGGTGGGTCAGCCGCTCGTGCGAAAAGTGATTGATTGCATCGTCTCTGTCTTTTTCCTGAGGGCTTTCGCTATCTCGCTCCGCCGCCCCATTCCTTTAGCTTTTTTCGTTCGATGCTAAGAAGTCCTTTTGGCTTCCCCCGCAAACGCTGAAGGGAATATGTGTGTATATAAATATATATATATACATTGCCCCGGCAAACGGGGTTCCCAGTTCGAGCCGGCGCCGAAGACGCCATTTGAAGGCGTTGTGACGACGCGTCCCTGTGAAGACGCTATTCTTTGTGAAGACGCTATTCCCGGTGAAGACGGTGAAGACGCTACTTCCGGTGAAGACGCTATTCCCGGTGAAGACGCTATATTCCCGGTGAAGACGCTATTCCGGGTGAAGACGCTATTCCCGGTGAAGACGCTATTCCTGGTGAAGACGCGTTCTGAGGACACAGACAGCATTTCCCCGATGAAGACGCTATTCCCGGTGAAGACGCTATTCCCGGTGAAGACGCTATTCCTGGTGAAGACGCTATTCCTTGTGAAGGCGCCATTCCGGGTGATGACGCTATTCCCGGTGAAGACGCTATTCCCGGTGAAAACGCTATTCCCGGTGAGTATTCTATTCCGGGTGAAGGCGCCGCGCTAGTCCGGGTGAAGACGCTACTCCCGGTGAAGACGCTATTCCCTGGCTCCTGATCCGCCGTACTTTGGATGATTTTCCGACCTAAAATTGTGTCGGAAATCGACGCCAAAGGAGCCTCAAGGGCGGAAATCGACGCTCAAAGGGGCTTCAAAAGTAGGGCGGACATGTCCGCCCTACTTTCGAAATCGCCCAAAGTAGGGCGGATCAGGAGTCAGGGTTCTCCGTGAAGACGCAATTTCGGGTGAAGACGCTATTCCCGCTGAAGACGCTATTCCTGGCGAAGACGCTAGTCCCGGTGAAGACGCTGTTCCGGGTGAAAACGCTATTCCTTGTGAAGATGCCCCTTGTCTTCACCAGGCCCAGTATTCCAGGTGCTCCCCTCCCAATTGTAATTTGAAAGTGCTATTCTACTGTGCGCTTTCCGCGCCTCGCACAACGCGCGCCCCATCTGTTGTGCGACACCCCCTGCTAGGCAAGACCCCTCCCCAAGTTGATTAAAAAAGAATCCTTGGTGTTAGACATGCCCCATCTGCTGTGCAACGCCCTTTTGTGGGCAAGACCCCTACCAGAGGGCCCCCCCCCATGTTAATTAGATGAGAACTTCCCGGTGCTAGACATGCCCGTTTGCTGCGCGGCACCTTTGCTAAGGAAGACCCCTCCCCAAGTTGATTCAAACAAGAGTCCTTGGTGCTAGGGCCCCAAGTTATCTAAACATAATCCTTGCTGCTAGACGTGCCCCATCTGCTGTGTGGCACCCTTTGTTGGGCAATGGCCCCCCCCAACTTGGTGAAACAAATTATCCTGGCGAAGGACCCAACCATATGCAGTTGTGAATACCGCAATTGTGAATGCCATCTTCGCCCGCGCTCCCTATGTGGCCACGGCTTCCCGCCGGAGCCCGACATGCTCAGGGGCGCGTTCGTGGCCGTCTTCGCGGGCGCCGACGACGACAAGGACGGCGCCCCTCTCACCGAGGAGCAGGAGCAGGAAAAGGCCTTGAGAGCCATGAGGGAGGAGGTGGCGTCGCACGTCGGCAAGGCGGAGTACGACGCCCAGGCGCGGTTGTTGAAACAGCACAACTATGGGGCCACGATCCTCGTGAGGGGTGTGCCGAAATGGCCCGGGGCCGCCGTGTGAACCCTGCCGCTGGCGCCTTCGGTGGAGCTCCAGTGGGGCCACGGTCCTCGTGAGGGGTGTGCCGAAATGGCCCGAGGCCGCCATGCGAACCCTGCCACTGGCGCCTTCGGTGGAGCTCCCTATGGGGCCACGATCCTCGTGAGGGGTGTGCCGAAATGGCCCGAGGCCGCCATGCGAACCCTGCCACTGGCGCCTTCGGTGGAGCTCCCTATGGGGCCACGGTCCTCGTGAGGGGTGTGCCGAAATAGCCCGAGGCCGCCATGCGAACCCTGCCACTGGCGCCTTCGGTGGAGCTCCCTATGGGGCCACGATCCTCGTGAGGGGTGTGCCGAAATGGCCCGAGGCCGCCATGCGAACCCTGCCACTGGCGCCTTCGGTGGAGCTCCCTTAAGGGTCCACGATCGTCGTGAGGGGTGTGCCGACATGGCCCGAGGCCGCCATGCGAACCCTGCCACTGGCGCCTTCGGTGGAGCTCCCTATGGGGCCACGATCCTCGTGAGGGGTGTGCCGAAATGGCCCGAGGCCGCCATGCGAACCCTGCCACTGGCGCCTTCGGTGGAGCTCCCTTATGAGTCTACGATCGTCGTGAGGGGTGTGCCGAAATGGCCCGAGGCCGCCATGCGAACCCTGCCACTGGCGCCTTCGGTGGAGCTCCCTATGGGGCCACGATCTTCGCGCGGGGTGTGCCGAAATGGCCCGAGGCCGCCATGCGAACCCTGCCACTGGAGCCTTCGGTGGAGCTCCCTCTGGGGCCGCGATCCTCGTGAGGGGTGTGCCGAAATGGCCCGAGGCCGCCATGCGAACCCTGCCACTGGGGCCTTCGGTGGAGCTCCCTATGGGGCTACGAAGCGCTGTGCTGGGTGGGTGAAACGCAAGGAGGAGGGGGAGGATGAAAGGAGGAGAGGAGACGCGGGCCACCGTCTCTTCAAAACGAGGACCCAACACCACAGGACGGTTGGGAATAATCCTTGGTGCTAAGCGTACCCCACCTGCTGTGCGGCACCTTCTGCTAGGCAAGACCCCTCCCCAAGTTGATTACAACACGCATCCTTGGTGCTAGACGTGCCCCATTTGCTGAACGACGCCTTCTGCTAGGCAAGACCCCTCCTCAAGTCGAGTTAAAAATTATCCTGGCGAAGGACCCAACCATATGCAGTTGTGAATGCCGCAAGTGTGAATGCCATCTTCGCCTGCGCTCCCTATGTGGCCACGGCTTCCCGCCGGAGCCCGACATGCTCAGGGACACGTTCGTGGCCGTCTTCGCGGGCGCCGACGACGACAAGGACGGCGTCCCTCTCACCGAGGAGCAGAAGCAGGAGAAGGCCTTGAGAGCCATGAGGGAGGAGGTGGCGTTGCACGTCGACAAGGCGGAGTACGACGCCCATGCGCGGTTGTTGAAGCAGCGCAACTATGGGGCCACGATCCTCGTGAGGGATGTGCCGCTATGGCCCGGGGCCGCCATGCGAACCCTGCCACTGGCGCCTTCGGTGGAGCTCCAGTGGGGCCACGGTCCTCGTGAGCCGAAATGGCCCGAGGCCGCCATGCGAACCCTGCCACTGGGGCCTTCGGTGGAGCTCCCTATGGGGCCACGATCCTCGTGAGGGGTGTGCCGAAATGGCCCGAGGCCGCCATGCGAACCCTGCCACTGGCGCCTTCGGTGGAGCTCCCTATGGGGCCACGATCCTCGTGAGGGGTGTGCCGAAATGGCCCGAGGCCGCCATGCGAACCCTGCCACTGGGGCCTTCGGTGGAGCTCCCTATGGGGCCACGATCCTCGTGAGGGGTGTGCCGAAATGGCCCGAGGCCGCCATGCGAACCCTGCCACTGGGGGCCTTCGGTGGAGCTCCCTATGGGGCCACAATCCTCGAGAGGGGTGTGCCGAAATGGCCCGAGGCCGCCATGCGAACCCTGCCACTGGCCCTTCAGTGGAGCTCCCTATGGGCCACGATCCTCGTGTGCCGAAATGGCCCGAGGCCGCCATGCGACTGCCTCTGGGGCCTTCGGTGGAGCTCCCTATGGGGCCACGATCCTCGTGAGGGGTGTGCCGAAATGGCCCGAGGCCGCCATGCGAACCCTGCCACTGGAGCCTTCCGTGGAGCTCCCTATGGGGCCACGATCCTCGTGAGGGGTGTGCCGAAATGGCCCGAGGCCGCCATGCGAACCCTGCCACTGGCGCCTTCGGTGGAGCTCCCTATGGGGCCACGATCCTCGTGAGGGGTGTGCCGAAATGGCCCGAGGCCGCCATGCGAACCCTGCCACTGGCGCCTTCGGTGGAGCTCCCTATGGGTCCACGATCCCCGAAATGGCCCGATGCGATGACGATGGGGCCGTGAGGGGTGTGCCGAAATGGCCCGAGGCCGCCATGCGAACCCTGCCACTGGAGCCTTCGGTGGAGCTCCCTATGGGGCCACGATCCTCGTGAGGGGTGTGCCGAAATGGCCCGAGGCCGCCATGCGAACCCTGCCACTGGCGCCTTCGGTGGAGCTCCCTATGGGGCCACGATCCTCGTGAGGGGTGTGCCGAAATGGCCCGAGGCCGCCATGCGAACCCTGCCACTGGCGCCTTCGGAGCTCCCTATGGGGCCACGATCCTCGTGAGGGGTGTGCCGAAATGGCCCGAGGCCGCCATGCGAACCCTGCCACTGGGGCCTTCGGTGGAGCTCCCTATGGGGCCACGATCCTCGTGAGGGGTGTGCCGAAATGGCCCGAGGCCGCCATGCGAACCCTGCCACTGGCGCCTTCGGTGGAGCTCCCTATGGGGCCACGATCCTCGTGAGGGGTGTGCCGAAATGGCCCGAGGCCGCCATGCGAACCCTGCCAGTGGGGCCTTCGGTGGAGCTCCCTATGGGGCCACGAAGCGGTGGGTGAAACGCAGGGATGAAGAGGAGGAAGGGGGCAGCGGGAGGAGGAGTGGACGCGGGGCGCTGTCTCTTCAAAACGAGGACCCAACACCACAGGACGGTTGGGAAATAATCATTGGTGCTAGGCGTGCCCCATCTGCTGTGCTGCACCCTTTGTTAGGGAATGGCCTTCCCCACGTTGATTTAAAACAGAATCCTTGGTTTTAGGCGTGCCCCCATGTGTTGTGCGGCACCTTCTGCTAGGAAAGACCCCTCCCCAAGTTCATTAACACAGATTCCTTGGTGCTAGATGTGCCCCTTGCTGTGCGGCACCCTCTCCAAGGTGAGCCCCTTTGCTGTGCGGCACCCTCTGTTAGGCAAGACCCCTCCCCAAGTTAATTGAACAAGAACCCCTGGTGCTGGACATGCCCGTTTGCTGTGCGGCACCTTGGCTAGGCAAGACCCCTCGCCAAATTGATTAACAAAAGGAATCTTTGCTGCTGGACATGCCCCTCTGCTGTGCGACCCCCGTACAGGCAAGAGCCCTCCCCAAATTGATTTAAAAATAATCATTGGTGCTAGGCGTGCCCCATCTGTTGTGCGGCACCTTCTGCTATGCACGACCCCGCCTCAAGTTGATTAAAAAAGAATCCTTGGTGCTTGACGTGCGCCACATCTGCTGTGCGGCACCCTCTGCTAAGCAGGACCCCTCCCCAAGTTGAAAAAAGCAAACCCTTGATGTTGGACGTGCTCCATGTGCTGCGCGGCGCCCTCTGCTAGGCAAGACCCCTCCCCAAGTTGATTATTAGACCTCGCCATCCCTGGTGGGCTGCGATCTGTGAAACTGTCGCCACTTTCGAGGCCTGCGGGGGGGCCAGCACAGTGACGCCACGCGCGGACCCAAATGAGACCTCGCCATCCCTGGGGGGCTGCGATCTGAGATCCCCGCTTTCGAAGTGGCTAGGGTTGCTCAGGGATTGCAACTAATCAGCTTTATCTAGTCCTTGTCCTGAAGCCAGTGTCCTGCGAGTCTCCCGAATTCCGTCTGCAGACATATGTAACACTCGCTCCGTCATCGCCCCCCTTATAAAGTGTCCTAAACTATTTGCGCCCCGCGTTTGCGCAGAGGTTGGGTACGTCGCCAGGGTAATTTTTCGTTCCCGGGCGTTGGCACGGGACGAGTTGAATGATACACTTGCGTTGCAATCGGTTGAATTGCAATCGATTCAATCGATTGGATTGCAGGGGAGGGACAGGACGGAAGGGAGGGAGGGGAGGAGAGGGAGGGGAGGGAGGAGATGGAACGAAGGGTGGGGAGGGAGGGGAGGGAGCGGAGGGAGGTGGGGAGGGGGATTGCAGTGGAATGGAGTGCAATCGATTGCAAGCGATTCGATTGGGATTTTCGATCGTCGATCGTTGATCGTCGATCGTCCATCCTCGATCGTGGATTGTTCATTTTGGATCGTCGGCGAAAGGGAGGGCGGAGGCTCCGGGGGCTGGGCGGCCAAAGGGGGCAAGGGGGGGGGGCAAGCTTCCAAGCCCCCCCCCCCTTTGGCACAAAGGGGGGGAGGGGGGTGGGAGCTTCCAGCAGGGCGGCTCCAAGGGAGGGGGGCGGTAGCTTAAGCACCCCCCCGGGGGTAGGGGGGGGTAGCTTCCGGGGCGGCCAAAGGGGGGTGGGGGGTGGGTAGCTTCCAAGCCCCCCTCCCCCTTTGCACGAAAGGGGGGGAGGGGGGGAGGTAGCTTCCAGCAGGGCGGCGCCAAGGGAGGGGGGGGTGGCTTAAGCACCCCCCCCCCCTTTGAAAGGGGGGGGGGTGGGGTAGCTTCGGGATGGGCAAGGGTGGGGAGAGGGACATTAGAGGAAGCCCCCCCCCCTGCAAAAAAAAGGGGGGGGTGCTTCCAACAAGGGCGGCTCAAGGGAGGGGGGGGTAGCTTAAGCCTAGCCCCCCCTCCCCTTTGCTCGGGCCCTGCGGGCAGGCTTCACGAGCTTCACCAGGCGCCAGGGAAATAGAGGCTTCAGGCCGAATAGAGGCTTCACGAGCTTCATCGGGCGTAAGGGGAATAGAGGCTTTAGGCAGCTTCACGAGCTTCAGTGGGCGTGAGGGGACTAGAAGCTTCAGGCCGACTAGAAGCTTCACGAGCTTCAATGGGCGTCAAGGGAATAGTGGCTTCAGGCCGAATAGAAGCTTTACGAGCTTCAACGGGCGTCCGGGGAACAGAGTCTTCAGGCCGAATGGAAGCTTCACGAGCTTCGGCTTCACGAGCTTCAGTGGGCGTCAATGGAATAGAGGCTTCAGGCCGAATAGGCGCGTCTAGGGTCGCCACCCCGTTGTGCGTCGCAATTCGTAGGCCGAATAGAGGCGTCACGAGCCGAATACAAGCTTCAGGCCGAATACAGGTTTCAGGCCGAATAGAGGCTTCACGAGCTTCAATGGGCGTCAACGGAATAGAGGCTTCAGGCCGAATAGAGGCGTCACGAGCTTCACCAGGCGCCAGGGGAATTGAGGCGTCACCCCAGCTCCTTGGGAGAATCGCGTCTTCAAATAGCGTCTTCGGCGCCGGCTCGAACGGGGACCCCCCCCAGGCCAGGCCCTTGTATATATACATCTATATACATACATATTTTTATATGTTTATATACATATGTATACATATATATATATATATATATATATATATATGTATGTATACACATATATATATATATACATATACATATACATATATATATATATGTATACATGCACGCATGCACAGCTGCAGCTGCTCCTGTGCAAGCACGCGCGGCAGTGGCAGCGATGCTCGGCTCCACCTGCGTCGGGTCCCGCGGGTTCGGCCTGCCGGGGCCCTGCACGGGCCCCCCAGGCTGTGAGGAGCGGCTCGGGACGGGAGCGCGTCCCGGGGCACGGCCAGGCGGTCCAAGACCTCGCAGGCCTAGAGGTTGTCACCAACACCGGTTTTTCGCCGAGGTTTCAAGACCCAGAGGCATCCAGGCGGAGGTTTTTCGCCGATTTCGACCTCCAGAGGCCCTCGCCGGGCCCCAGGACCGACAAAAGACGACTCGGGATGAAAAACCGGTCCTGGGCAATGGGTCGAGACTTCCGGGGACCGTGTATTGAACACATCACGACGTCGGATTTCTTCGCAGGCCTAGAGGTTGACACCAACACCAACATCGGCGGTGTGCCTCCACCGAGGGAAGAAGATCCCGATCTCCGTGATGATGATCATACTCTGGCTTCCAAGGTGACCAAAATATTACCTAAGATCATTTTCCCCCCGTGGAGGCAGCCCCCTGTGTTGGTGTTGGTGCCCACTTCCAGGCCTCCAATGACCCGTTTCCCCCACGCCACAAGGTGGATGGCGAAGTACACCACACCGACCTCAAGCGAGCGCTCGAGATGGCCGGCTTTCAGAAGCCGAGCCAGACTTGCATCGACGCGGCCAAGGCGAAAGTGACGATGTGGTCGACGTTGAGCTTTGCCCAGTTCAACGAGTTCGCAATGTGCTTCGGGGCAGAAGAGGAGACGCTGCAGCATGAGGTGTTCGCCAGCTTCGACACCGACAGCTCAGGGTACATCGACAGGGGTGAGCTGGAGCGCCTGCTGGAACACTTCGGCGTCATCCCCATGCGGCACATCCTGGACGAAGTGCTGACGGAGGTCGACGAGGACGGCTCTGGCAGCATTGGCCTGGATGAGTTTAGGCAAGTGTTCGAGATCCTCCGTCTGCGCGAGGGATTTACCCGCGAAGAGTTCCAGAACCTCATTGACCTGTTCGAGAGAATGGACCTCGACGGCTCTGGCGAGATGAACAGGCAAGAGCTGAGGGTCCTGCTCGGGTACCTCGACTGGCAAGTAGGCGCAGACGAGCAGGACAGGATAATGAAAGAGGTCGACACCGAGGAGAACGGAGAACTGGGCAGGCTCGAGTACCTGCTCTTCATGAGGAAGTGCCGCAAGCGCGAGATCGAGAAGTTGGTAGAGGTCTTCGACAGCGTCGACCCAGGAGCGGACGGGGTCATAGGCTACGGCCAGATGATCCAGGCCTTCACGAAGATGGGCTACGAGCCCGACGCCGACGCCGTGTTGGAGGCGGCCGAGGCTGCCGGCATCGGCAGCAAGAAGGCCAGCCTGGACACCAGCGATTTCTGGCTGGTGCTCACGGAGTGCCGGGCGCGCGAGTGGTTCCTCGGCGGCGAGCTGAGGCAGATCGGCGAGGTGTTCGGCCAGGTCGACGCAGAGGGGCAGGGCGAGCTAGACATCGCCCAGATCGACAAGGCGCTCCTCGCCCTGGGGCTGTCGCTCAGGTCCGAGCTGCTCCTCCTCCTCCTCCTCCTCCCGTCGCCGTCGCCTGTGGCTTCCGGATCCAAGAGGATGCAGCCACCTCCCAGCCAGCGGCGGTCGCCGCTGGCTGGAAGAGGAGGAGGAGGCGGAGGAGGAGCAGGAGGAGGAGGAGGAGGAGCAGGAGGAGGAGGAGAAGGAGAGGGAGCTGGAGGAGGAGGAGGAGGAGGATGAGGAGGATGAGGAGGATGAGGAGGGGGGAGGGGGGATGGGGGAAGAGGATGAGGGACGTGGAGGAGGAGAGGGGGTGGAGGAGAAGAAGGAGGACGGAGAAAAGGGGGGAAAGACGAGGATGAGGCGGAGGAGGAGGAGGAGAGGAGGCGGAGGAGGAGGAGGAGGAGGAGAGGAGCGAGGAGGAGGAGGAGGGAGAGAGAGGAGAGGATGGAGGAGGGAGAGGAGGAGGAGGAGGAGAGGAGGAGAGGAGGAGGAGGAGAGGAGGAGTAGGAGGGAGCAGGAGGAGGAGGAGGAGGAGGTGAGGAGGAGGGAGGAGGAGGATGAGGAGGAGGAGGAGGAGGAGGGGGAGGAGGAGGAGGAGGAGGACGAGGACGAGGACGAGGACGAGGACGAGGACGAGGACGAGGACGAGGAGGAGGAGCAGGAGGAGGATGAGGAGGAGGAGGAGGAGGGGGAGCGGGAGTGGGAGTTGGAGTTGGAGTGGGAGTGGGGGGAGCGGGAGTGTGAGTGGGAGTAGGAGTAGGAGTAGGAGTGGGAGTCAAGCTATCCAGCTCGAGCGAGTCAAGCATGGCATGCCCATTCCCACCCGACCTCCCACAACATAAGAAACAGTGACCTGGCGCAACGTGGGACCGAAGTCAGATCGGCAAAGTGGTCTGCCGCAGCTGATGCAGCCGCGATCGTGGTTACCGATGGGAAATTTCTGGCGCGTCTCAAGGACTGCGTTGGCATTTCAGCACGAGCCGAGGAGACCCCAGGAAGCTCGGAGGTGTCAGGAAGCCCCAGGGATCCCAGGAATCCCCAGGATGCTTCAGGAGGCCCCAGGAGGATCCACGAGGCCCTGGGGAAGCCCCGGGAAGCCCCAGGATGTTTCAGGAGATCCTGGGAGGCCCAAAGGGGGCCCTATGCGCTCGACGAATTGGCGAGCGAAAAATGTGCGCCGCACCTTAGCGGGAGTGCAACTTTCAGAGAACATGCGCGCGGCGCCGAAGCGGGAGCGACATTTTACTTTGTCGCGCGCGATGTGCACCGCGCCCCACTCCTGCCACGCATTTCGCAAAGCCGACGACAAGAAAGTCCTCGTTGAGAAGGCATGATGACTTTTGTATTATGTTTTGATGATAGGTTGGATGGCCGCTCCCGCTTGGGGTTACCCCAGACGTCCGCGCGCGATGTGCGCCGCGCCCCGCTCCCGCTACGCATTTCGCCTCGTCGGCGACAAGACAGGCCATGTTGAGCGGACCAACAATGACTTTGTATTGATTTTCATCAGTCAGCATGGGAGGGCCCGGATTGGCGTCCGCGCGCGATGTGCGCCGCGTCCCGCTCCTGCCGCGCATTTCGCATCGTCGACGACAAGACGGGCCATGCCGAGAGGAACAACGATGACTTTGGATGGATGTTTGTTAAGTTAGGATGGGAGGGCCCTGATTGACGACCGCGCGCGATGTGCGCCGCGTCTTATTCTTGCCACGCATTTCGCATCGTCGACGACAAGACAGGCCATGTTTAGAGAACAACGACGACTTTGGAATTATTTGTTTACAGTCAGGATGGGAGGGCCCGGATTGACGGCCGCGCGCGATGTGCGCCACGTCTTATTTCTGCTACGCGTTTCGCATCGTCGACGACAAACACAAACCATGTTGAGAGAACAACCGACGACTTTGTATTGATTTTGTACAGTTAGGATGGGAGGGCCCTGATGGGGCCGCTATCGGACGGCCAGATGCGGGGAGTAAGGGTATCTTCTAATACAGACTAAGGATGGGAGTGGAAGTGGGAGTGGGAGTAGGAGAGGAGAAGGAGGAGGAGGAGGAAGAGGAGGAGGAGGAGAAGGCGGAGGAGGAAGAGGAGGAGGAGGAGGAGGAGGATGAGGAGGAGGAGGAGGGGAGGGGAGTCGGAGTGGGAGGAGGAGGAGGAGGAGGCGGAGGAGGAGGGCAGAAGCAGGAGGAAGAGGAGGAGGAGGAGGAGAAGGAGGAGTGAGCTGGAGGAGGAGGAGGATGAGGAGGAGGAGGAGGGGAGGAGAGGAGGAGGAGTGGGAGTGGGGTGAGTGGGGTGGGGAGTGGGAGGCGGAGGAGGAGGAGAGGAGGAGCAGAAGGAGGGAGGTGGAGGAGGAGGAGGAGAAGAAGTACCGAGATGGAGGAGTGGAGAAGGAGGAGGAGAAGAAGGAGGAGGAGGAGGAGGAGGAGGGTGAGGAGGAGGAGGGGATCGGGGGTGGGAGTGGGATTGGAATGGGAGGAGGGGGAGGAGGAGGAGGGAGGAGGAGGAGGATGGAGGAGGAGGAGGAGGAGGAGAGGAAGGGAGGAGGAGGAGGAGGAGGCGGAGGTGGGAGTGGGAGAGGGAGTAGAGGGTGTCCGTGTCTCAGGAGGAGGAGGAGGAGGAGGAGAGGAGGAGGAGGGAAGAGGAGAGGGCGGTAGGAAGGGGAGGAAGATGGAGAGAATGCGGCAGGAGGAGGGGAGTTGGAGGGAAATGGGAGCGGGAGTGGAGTGGGAGTGGGAGTGGGGTGGGAGGGGAGTGGAGTGGGAGTGGGAGGAGGAGGAGGAAGGGAGGAGGAGGAGGAGGAGGAGGAGGAGAGGAGGTGGAGGAGGAGGAGGAGGAGGAGGAGGAGAAGTAGGAGGAGGAGGAAGAGGAGGAGGAGTGGGAGTAGGAGGGGGAGGGGGAGGGGAAGGATGATGATGATGAGGAGGAGGAGGAGGAGAAGGAAGGGAGGAGGAGGAGGAGGCGGAGTGGGAGTGGGAGTGGGTGTGGAAGGAGGAGGAGGAGGAGGAGGAGGAGGACAAGGAGGAGGAGGATGAGCGGGAGGAGGATGAGGAGTGACAGTGGGAGTGGGAGTGGGGTAATGATGATGATGCTGATGATGATGATATTGATGATGATGATGCTGATGGTGATGATGATGATGATGATGCTGATGATGTTGATGATGACGATGATGTTGATGCTGCTGATAATGTTGATGATGGTGTTTATGATGCTGACGAGGCTGATGATGCTGATGATGATGGTGCTGCTGATGATGACGATGATGATGATGCTGATTATGATGGTGATGATGATGATGATGATGATGATGATGATGCTGATGATGATGATGCTGATGCTGATGCTGTTGTTGCCGTTGATGGTGCTGATGAGGATGGTGATGATGATGATGATGAGGCTGATGATGATAATGATGATGCTGATGCTGATGATGATAATGATGATGACGACGATGCAGCTGATGATTAGTATGTTTATGCTGCTGATGATGGTGATTATGCTGCTGTTGATGATGATGGTGATGATGATTATGGTGATGATGCTGAAGACGACGATGACGATGACGACGGTGACGATGATGATGATGATGATGATGATGATGATGATGATGATGCTGATGATGATGATGATGATGATGATGATGATGATGATGATGATGATGATGTTGCTGATGATCATGAGGAGGAAGAGGAGGAGGAGGAGCAGAAGCAAGAAGAGCAGGCGGAGAAGGAGAAGGAGGAAGAGGAGGAGGGGGAGGAGGAGGAGGAGAAGGAGGAGGAGTGGGATTGGGAGTGGGAGTGGGATGAGGAGGCGGAGGAGGATGAGGAGGATGAGGAGGATGAGGAGGAGGAGGAGACGGAGGAGGAGGAGGAGGAGGAGGAGGAGGAGGAGGAGGAGGAGGAGGAGGAGGAGGAGGAGGGCAGGGGGAGGAGGAGGAGGAGTGGGAGCGGGAGTGGGAGTGGGAGGAGGAATCGGAATCGGAATCGGAACAGTTGCGAAGCAACATCCAAACAAGAACACACTATGCCAGATCCTTGGGCCTCAAGCCCCTCATAAACCTGTCAAGGTACTCCCGTCTCTTGCGAGTGATGCGCGAAGGCTGACACTCGGAGCCCAACAATCTAAGTTGGGCCTGACCGAAACTGCCACAATTTCTGCAAATCCAAGCATTGACGACCGATGAGTGCACCATGCAATGAGACTGATGGACTCAACCCCCCGCCAAGTGGACCCGCCCCCCTGTCGGAGGCCGAGAGAGCTCGCTCGAAATTCGCAGAGGCGGCACGCGTGGGGTGCCTAGCCAGGCGGTGCGGCCCGCCTGCGAAGTGGAACTAAAACATGCCGTACACTTCTGGCCCTCGCCGTTGAGGGTGTGGGCAGAGGCGAACAAAGCAACAGCAGCAGGCCTCGGGGGGGAGGGGGAGGGGGAGGGGGAGGGGGAGGGGGAGGAGGCAACCCAGGATTGGATGGATCTTCAGGCGACTCCGTGGGATGAGACATCGCATCGAGAGTAGCCCTCATCAACCGTTTCCGCACCAAACACGCCTTCCTCTCCACCTCCGCCGCCCTGGCCCGCTGGGAATCAGGTACTCGACACTGCTTTGCTGCAAAACCTGCCAGCTCATCTGCTACAGTATCCCCGATGCCAAGATGGATGGGGATCCCTCGCTCGTGATACTGCTGAGGATCAAGGTGAGAAGGGACTTGGAGAACAGCAATCTCTGACGCCGACCTCACTTCGAGCAACTTCCCGATTTCCCTCCAGATCGGCGCAAGAGAGCCTTCAGGATGAAGATACGCTTTGTCTCACCAGCCCCTGACGACCGCGTCATTGTCTGACACAAGGCACACGTAACCTTGCGAGAGCCTGATAGTGACCCCCAGAACACGAAGTTCCCCGAGAGGCACGGTCTGCTCGTCACCCACCAGGGGACCTGCTAAGCTTGGGCCCAACACTAGAGGCTCGAAACTTCGAATGACGACTGCCGCGAGCCCGGCCCTCCTAAGGTGCCCAAAACGAGTGTCGGGACCCCCCGAC